TGGTTACACTCGGATCCTTGGCTCTGAGTATGGATATAAAGTCATCAGGTAGATTTCAGTGGTAATGCTTATCATCTTTACTAATTAACATGAAATAAAATTTAATGCTTCTTCCTCAAATATAACTCATTTTTTATTTGTTGATTTTTTTGTGTATATCTTATACAGAACATCCCGAAAAATCGTATTCATCTATATACCCACTTCCCAAATGGGAACCCTCCCATACCCTCCCCCACTCCCCACTGGAGCCCATATACTCTGTCATCCTTGTTACTGTCCACTGTGTTGTCAGTGCCCCCAGCCATTCCCGAGGGTTTATCCATCCGCTGAATCTAGTCAGCCTATCTAGAGTTCCTTGTTTTAGGAAGATCAGCTGTTCCTCATCTAGCAGCAATCAGTTGTCAATATTCCTTTAGATAAGATTGGGGTCTGCTGTTAATTTTCCCAGTTCTATGCTTGGTTACTGTCTGGGAGTCTCTTGGGCCACCCTGGCCAACAACTCAAAGGAAGGTATCTCCTGTCTGGCATTGTTTCTTATTAGGTAGCCTTTAGCTATATACATGGACTCTTAAATTAAAAAATTACATTGGCCCCTTTAATCTTTGATTTTACTTTCCTTTTGAGAGTTTAAGACCATACAGTTGGCCCAGATAAATCAATTTATTTTTACTCTTCAGGCCATTTGGGGATCTGTTCCTCAGGAATCACATGAGCTTGGGAGGAGCCCCTGGCTCCTTTCTTTTACCAGTCCCATCTATGTGAAGATAAGCCAAATGTCCTACTTGACCATGGCTGGCTTTGCTTGGAGGCATGGAGGAAATGCTTCCTCTGAGTTGACCCTCATCTTTGTAGACTGGACACTTGTTGAAGTACATTTGATGGGGTCTTCATGGCCTCTGTAATCAAAAGGACAGGTGACTCATCACGGTTACAGGCTATTTTGAGAGATGCTCATAGTCCCCTGGAACTTAGTCGACCTAGGACGACAAGGAGCAAAAACTGTCCTTTATGTCCCTCTGACCAAATTAGTATAGGCCTCAAAGTATGGCTGTTAAACATCCAAGAAGGTTAGTTCCACCAGTTTGGTACTTTTAATTACCATATGCCATGTAGATAAAGCTCGGGCAAACACAAAATTTTCTCAGATAAACCTTGCCTAGACATGTATTATATTCCTTGATTTAGTTGTATGTATAATTTGTTAGTAGGTTCTTGGACTAATATGTTTCCCTCAGGTTTTTTAAAACTAGCTAGGCATTATTTTTCTCTTGCATTGTTTAACCCTTCCACCATGGTTTCCCCATTTAAGGTGCCCCCATATTTCCCATTTCTCCCTTAAAAATACCCTTCTCCTATGGTCCAACCTCTCTTGAGCTCCTTCTTTCCCTTTATCCCCTAGGTTCCTTCTATAAACCCTCCATTTCCCCTTCTATTTAAACTACCACCATTTTTATCCATTTCTCCCTTAGTAACACCTACCTCCTATTACTCTCTCAAGTTCTTTCTTTGCCTTTACCTCCCCGGTATCTCATAAGCTCTTAAACAGCTAACCACATTGCACTGTGATTATTTATGAAGAGGTCTGTCTCCTTCATAGGCTTCACGTCGACTAGCCATCGCCCTGAGCTTCACCTAAAAAATTCTAAGTCTGTGTTACTTCACTTAGTATAAGTTTCTAGTTCCATCCATTTACCTGCAAATTTCATGATTTTGTCTTTATTTATTGCTGAGTAAAACTCCATTGTATAAATTAACTACATTTTCATTGTCCACTCGTCAATTGAGGGACACTTAGGTTGCCTCCATCTCTTAGCTCTTGTGAAAATAGCATCAACAAACATGGATGTACAAGTGTCTCTGCAATAGGATGAGTTATTTGTGTATATGCCAAGGAGTGGTATAACTGGGTCAAATGGTAGGTTCATTTGTAGTTTTTTAAGAGTTCTCCACACTGCTTTCCATAGGGGTTGAACAAGTTTGCAGTACCAACACCAGTGGATGAGTGTTCCCCTTTTACCACATCCTCTCCAACATTTGGTATCATTTGTTCTCTTGACCTTAGGCAGTCTGACTGGGGTAAGATGAAATCTTAAAGTGGTTTTAATTTACATTTTCCTAATTACTAGTGATGTTGAACACCTCTTAAGATGTTTCTTAGCCATCCTTATTTCTTCTTTTGAGAACTCTCTGTTTAGATCTTTAGTTCATCTTTTAATTGGGTTACTTCCTTTCTTGATAGTCTTTGTTTTTTGAGTTTGTTATATATTCTGGATATTAAACCTCTGTTAGATGTTTTTCTGGTGAAGATTTTCTCCCATTCTGTGGGTTTTCTCTTCACTTCCT